GCACAAATCACGAACAATAATACCACATACAAATAACAAATTAGTAAATTATTTAAGAAATTAGGGTTCAAAATAAAACCTTAAAATTAAAATTGCAGTGATAATTGGAATTGGAAGAGGCCTAGAGGGTGGCGTCCAGGACTGGCGGCTGGTGCTCTGCGTGACCTAGGTCGGCGTCGCTGAATCGCCAGTGTGGATCGTTTAAGATGGAATTGGTGCAGAGGTATGAAATTCAGATATCCTCGTGATGGTTCAAAAAAAAAATCAAGCTATCCAAAAATTTAACTAACTCAAGAAAGAACTATAATCAGATGGAAGGAATTCAGCTACCCGATTGAAAGATGCAAAGATAAAATCTGATTGATGCTTTGGTCGAAACTTAAGAATTGGACAGAAAGTTTTGGGTTGCTAGATGAAAAAGAACGGCTGATTGCTGGCAAAGGAGAGTGCATCTTCGGGGTGGGTTTACGGGTGAGAAAATAGAGCTGGGCCGCCGAGTTAATTGATTCGGGCTTTTAATTAACTTACAAATGTTTCCAACGTATTCTTTTTTAAAATATTCGAAAAATAATTAAAATATCTCAACTTCGTAGGAATGCAAAGTTTTGGGGAAAGTTCCCGAAATGGGACTAAAAAAGTTTTAAAATTCCAAAATAGGACTGTCATGTTTTTATTCCCAAAATAGGACTAATTACTGCCAAATTTGGAAAATACTGCCATGTTTGAAGTCTGGTACTGCCAAAACATGACAGTAATTAGTCCTATTTTGGGAATAAAAACATGGAAGTCCTATTTTGGAATTTCCAAACTTTTTTAGTCACATTTTGGGTAATATCTCAAAGTTTTTTTATCGTCAAAACGGCTTAAGTTGTTATTGCAGCATTCTGATAGCAGTGAAATGACGAAAGGACCACATGCAACCGTCAACCCTCGAACCAGAGTTAGAATCAATCATCTCTAAAAAACCAATATAACTGGATGATCCTATAATAGGCATAAATGAGCCAACAACGGTTTAAGCAGAACTCCCATCACCCAATCCTAATGCAGGAGTTTTACACCAATAAAAGTAGCCAACAGAAAACTAAACAAACTGATCATGAAAAATAAAATAACAATCAAATAGTAAAATTAAAAAACAGCTTCCAAACCCTAAATTCTCCGGCACTCCATGTCGGCGGTTTAGGAGGGGTCCAATAGTACTGTAGGTTGTAGCTTCTTTCGCACCTTGCCTCCAGTTCAGATCTGTTCCAGCATCTAGCCTCATGCTTCGTCCATGACCTTCTGATCTCAACCATGAACGACATCCTCGCAACTCTCCACGACTCCACCTGGTGCTAGGGGTATACAACCTTTGGCCGTCATATAGGCGTTGCAGTCTGCCGAAGAAGAGAGCCTTAGTGGAGAAATCAACCCCTAAACCTAGGGGAGACGGCCGCTGCTTACTTTGCCTATGCCGCTAAAACTCGATCGACACTTGAAACCCTACGGCGGGAAAAACTACTCTTGAGCATCCACGTGAGATTAAAAATGAAAGTCGTGTATTGAATTGAAGTTAAAACCCCGGAAAAATATATTGTTGATAGGAGTGTAAAGTTAAATATCTCAAATTTGCATGTGTAATTTAAATACCTCAAATTTTGTATAAAAAATTATTTTAGCATCATGGTTATGTATTGTTTTTTCAAAAATATCAATTTTGTGTTAATTTCATAATTTAAAATATTTTAGCATTCATGAAAAACAATTAACATTCTAAACTTTCATTTTAAAATAAACAAATAAATAAATAGTATAACTCTATCTCCTAAGAGGGCATATATGATACATCCTGCTGTACGGGTGTGAACCGTATAGCCAAATATTTTTGTGGTTGTGCTCAACTTTCAACCCAATGAATTTAACTTTCAGCCCCTGCTTCGCTTCCTTGTCGTGTGCCTGCAGCTGCTGGCAACGAACGTACTTCACCAGTGCCCAAACAACCATGTTTTTTTGTTATATGTGTAATTCTTAATATGATAATTTGTTATATTTATGAAATTTTAAATAATTTATTTAATAAATTATCAATATATATATATAAGAATTATAACAAATTCATCAACAATTTTATACTTTGTAATATGTTATTCAAGACTTAAACTTTATTTTGTTGGTTTCGTAATGTTACATCAATGCCATTTATGTTAAGCATTATGCTCATTTTAGTATATTAAAAACTCATTTCAATAGTTCATCTATATATAATAGTGCTCACTTTCATTTTCTTATAAAAAACTTATTAAATTATATCTATAATCAACTCTTATAAATCTCAATATGTGAATCTAATGTAATATGGTACTTTTAAAATATGCATTGAAAATGAGCATTACACCAATATCAAATGAGCATAGGTAACTTACCAAATGAGCATTACACCAATATCAAATGAGCATACATATTTACGAAATGAGCATCAAAAAATTCGAAAAATCATTTAAAATCTTTAGTGTGCTCAAATATTAAATGAGAATACATAACGTATGAAATGAGTATCGAAAAGTTTAAAATGAGCATTACACTAATATGCATGGATATGACATTTAAGTTGTCCAGTGTGATGCTCATTTTAAAATGAGTATTACACCAATATCAAATGAGCATAGATAATTTACAAAATGAGCATCAAAAATTTAAAAACTCATTTAAAATCTCAAATATGCTTAAATATCAATTTGTGTATGCTCATATCAGTAGATTCTAAAAAAGCATTGAAATCTAATTTTAGACCAAACAATTTTATTGGAATCATTTTTTAAAATTACATCAATGCACATTTAATTTAAATAATAAGCATTTAAGATTTATAATATCTTAATAAAAATTATTAATTTTTTTATTATATTAAAAGTATTTTGTATATTGTGATACACTAACACTAAAGCTTAATAGTGATAATAATAATAATCATAATTTAAATTATAATACCAATAATACTATTAATAATATCTAATTTGACATGTACTAATATAATACTATAATAAAAATATAATAATATAGTAATGATATTATATAAAATAATAATAATAATAATAATAATATATTATATATTTCAAACAACGATTTAAACTTTGCATGAGAAAAAGACAAAAGACATTTTATATTATACTTCTTATAAACACAAAAAACATAATATTAATATTTTATTACAAATTCAATTAATAATAACTAATTATATAATTACAATAATAATATAATATATATAATAGAATAATAACAATAAAGACCCATTTTTGCCCAACAATCCATATGGAGCAGTTTATCCTAATTTTGACAGCCCATTAGCAAAGAACCCAGCCCAATTAATAACCATTTAGGTCTGCTCCACAACCCTAACCTAAACCGCCCTATATAAGGTGTGTTTACCCTGCGTCCAAATCATTTGCACTTCGGCCGACTTCAGTGATCATCGGTTCTCTGAAAACCTTTCTATTTTCGTCAATCTTCCGGCCTTCCTATTTCATACACACACCCACATCTCACCCTTATTCTTATCCAATTCAAGATACATATTCAATATTCATGACGATTCTCACCAGACATACGATCGTATGTATTTTAAACTGTGATGTGTATCTATATTTGTGCGATGAACTGAGTGATCATCAAAGGATCTCAGACCTTACATCTCCTAGTGTGATTTCGGTATATCTCATACTATTTCGTAGTTTTATCAGTTTTTGTGTACATGCACTTCTTCTTCATTAGATTTCATGGTATTTTCAATTTAGCAAAAAAAAATCTAATACTAAGTCATTTTATTTTAGTCAGATCTTGCCTTATAGGACTACTATTACGCCTATGAAGACTGAGCGGTAATAAAAGGTTCTCAGACTTTGCATCTCCTTTCGTGATTTGGTATATCTCACACTATTCCTATGTTTTATCAAATTTATGTGTAAATGCGAAGTGAGTTTAATTTTCTCCGATCTTGCCTTATTCAGCCACTGTGATGACGATGAATGCAATGATTATAAAATGACCTCAGCCCTAAATCTCCTTTTGTTATTCATGTAAATCTTACAGTGTTCCTCTGTTTTCTTACTTTTGTGTGTACATATACTGGTATATGATTTTATTTAAGGAATAAATTGCAAATGAGACAGGTGCAAGGTAATAGAGGCGCTTTATTTTCATACCACAAAAAGAAGTTCAAATAATAGAATATAGTCATCTATTTTCTCTAACAAGTACATAGATTTGTAAAATAATAGAATATTTTGTTGTCCTTGATATTGACATTGAAACACTACTTTCTCAAAACAATGAGATAAGCAGACACTTGATGTTATATATATATCTTACAATATGTATTTATATATGTTTTAAGTAAAACATTGAGATGGTAGTATGAAGGGGTCAATTATTTAATCATACTTTCTGCAATATACTTATATGACATACTTTGAATTGTGTAATTTTTGTAAAACGGATTACAAACTCATGCATTTAACATATTTATGAGAAGCTTATTTTGGACACAATCACTTTTTATTTCAATCTATTACTTTTTATTGATTGTAGTGTTTTTGATGATCCTCTTCAATGAAGAGCTGTTATTAAAACACAATTGACATGTTGTTTACCCCAAGTAGTGAATTTTGAATGCTATTTAAAGTTGTTTCTCTGGTGTTTCACATAGTGTATGAATATCTATAGAAACACCATTATAAATGTAGCTATATACTTCGTATGATTTTAAAACACTTTTTTTTCTTTTCAATAGATGTCAAACCCTTTCATGCTCCTGTTGTGTACACTACTTTGAACTACCATAAACTTGTGGTTACTTGTGAATTTGGCCCATCTCATATGCTGTCAGATTCCTTGCCAGTCACCGAAGTGACCTTCGGGACTATGTGGTTTGACAGTACAATGACCTTAATACATGTAACACATTTAATACATTCAAGTAATGTATGTCAAGAAAGTTCACATTCATAATTTTATACAATCTTTTCGAATTCATTTCATTTCATTGTAACCATTGTATGACTAAACATGTCTTAACATTACATCTGATTATACATGCCATATTTTTTGCAAAAAAAAAAACAATTCACTTCTTTTACATGTCCTACAACCAAGGCATATTTCATTCATGTCTCTCCCATATACATGTATGTATGTATATATGTCTATATTACATGCTCCCCACCTTATACAATCATACAACCCCTAAATAAATAAATAAAATAAAATAAAATAAAAACAAATAAAAATATGATTTAATACTTTAAATTACGCAGGCAAACCGCACAGGTCAACGGCTTCAAAACTCCGAAGGAGCATCAAAATCAAAACCAGGAACGTCAAAAAACTCCGACGCAGCATCAAAACCTGCAGTTTCGTCTCCGTCTCCAACCGCCGCACCTGCAGGCGCCGCCGCCGCTGTCGTCGGAGATGGTAAGGCATTTGTGAAGCCTTCTAGCCCATCTCCACCCCGACCTTCCACATCACCTCCAAATCCGAAGTCCCCTGGATTACGGCATGGTTCCTCGAACATAAGGAAATCGAGGTTGTTATCATTGCTGCCGTCTTTGTAGAAATCCAGCAAGTACGATTCTCTCTCCACCTTCTCCTCCTCGGCTTCCTCCGCCATGTGAATACCAGAAGGTGCCGGATACGGTTCGCTCGCCGCTTCCATCCAGAAGTTGAAAAAGCTCTCTTCATCCATAATTGCTGGATTCAAGGCGGTGGAAGAAGCATAATCTGCTTCGATTGGGACTTCATGACGTTTCAGCTCCATCAATTCCGCTGAGAAATCGTTGTTGTTGTGAAGAAGATGATGATCGCCTTCTTCATCAGTCAGCCGTTGTGCTTTCCCTGCTCGGCGGTGTTCATCATTGTCACCGTGCATCGGCTGTGCACTGGACTGAGCTTCTCCGATTTCTCTGAGCTTATCTGCGTAGTTGCTCATGTCAAAATTGGTGAGTGCCTTTGGCCCTCTCTGTTTGATTGCTGCTATGTCATATGCTACAGCTGCTTCCTCTTCAGTTTCTTCATCCACCAGTAATTAAAAAACAAGTAAATAAATTATGAATCATAAGCTTGGATAAGAATTATTACTATGTCATCAATAATTAATCACAATAGAATTTAAAACTGGGTTGATGTCATTTAAGGGATTTGTGCCAAACCACACTAAAAGATTGAATTCAATCTGTTAAATCAAATGTATTGTTAACTGTTAAGCCTTCATTTCCAATTTAAATTTTAACAAACAAATGGTGAAAAACTTGATAGGTATCTATTAAAAGGTTAGAATCTTATAAACATAGATCACTTGTTATTTATTACTCTTTTCATCCAAAAAAAATCTTTCCGATTTGACTTGGATTTGAGTTTAAGAAAGTGAAAATAAAATGAAAATGTATGACTTTGGTTAATTAAGAAAAATGTAAATGAATATTAGCCCACAAAACTTTCCAAAAATGTAAATGGGGAAGAATTTTTTAGGACATCTCAAAAGGGTAAGTGAAAATAATTATATGCCGCGGAGGGAGCATTTCTGTTTGCTAATCACATTGTTATTACTTTTTCTTTTTATGGTAAGGCGTAAAGCGCAGCCCCTACTCTTAAAGTGTGCACAAGGTAAAAACTCGGGTTGAATGCAATGGCTTGCAAAACACATCAAACAGATAAACCATACTAGGCAGGCATGTGAGAGGCTCGACCCGAAGGTGTTGACAATGGTTGAACTCATGACTTCTCAGTCACTAGCTCGCCTACTTCACCAACTTGGCCACCTTTACAGGTTTGTTACTCCCTGCCCTTATTATATTAATGGTATGCTCTTATTTGTTAGATAAAGATGTTCATTTCATAATACTTGGGTGCTTTGTTAGGTAAATACACTCTCAGCTCCCATTCCAAATGTCCCAACATAATGTTTAGTTTCTTAAAACTTGCTACCTTTTAACTTTTCTCGGTTGATCATTCTATTATCTATTCTTTCACCTTTTCAGTCAGTAGGCGAAAAGATCATACATTAAACAGCAGCTTTATTAATAAAAAGTTTGTCAAATCAGAATGCCTCATATACTACTCAGACTCAGAGACAGCTGGGGTATAATAATGCTATGGTGCCCACAAATCTACAAAGGATAATATTCCCAGTAGGGAAAAAACAGGACACTTTTGTTTCTCTTTTTGGGATGGGAGATAATAATTTGCATTGGAAGTAAATGAAACCTTGTCACTTAACAAAACATATGTGACAGATACTTGTTAACAGATTTCTCACTAGAGCAGGCAAGGAGAAAGTTGACCCAAATTTTCAAAAAGTTTGACAAATCAGAACATGTTGAAAAAGCTACAACACATATGGCAAATGGAAAGTAGTTTGGCAAATGAAAACTGAACTATGGCAAACATATAATAAGTTACAGGCAATGTACAGGAAAACATACTGAACGTTCCCAAGTACATATACTTGTTCCCCTGGACTCGTCCAATCCGTGCCTCCCAACGACCGTTGTGATGGTGTCTGTGAAAGTTCAATGATCAACTTAATTATAAATAGTAGTTGCATCAGCTCTTTTAAAAAAAATTCAACTCAATTTGAGCCAGTTGATTCTAAACATACAAAACTAAAAGCATCAACAATAAGCTAGATATGAAATTATGATTTCACTGAGACATTTAACTCCCTTAATATTGGACTCTTTTAACTCTATTAAAATTAAAAGACTCAACATGATATGAGTATATGATGGATAACTAAAGGTGTTACATGTTTGTTTATCATTTAATGTTTATGGTGTGTACCTTGCAACCCCGCGGTACTTAGAAACGCCTCGAGAAAACCCACTACTCTGCCGCCGAAGCGAGGCTAGGAACTCCTCCTTAGACAAATTCTTCATTTCTTCAAGCTCTTTAGTGTACATCTCAATCTACAGAAAATATATCATTGATGGTAATTGACTAGTTGAGTAAACTTGAAAAACCAAAATGATTTCCAAAGATAAAAGTGACCCTATACCGGATAATTAAGAATGATGTCTGGCCCTGGCCCCCAGTACTTAAGAGCAGCAAGATCATAGGTTCTGGCAGCAGCCTCTTCACTGTCATATGCACCTTCATTCCATTTCAGGAAAATAATAATCACTTTCTCTTGATGATGATGATGGTGAAAATATGGTGAGCATATTTTAAAAAGACTAATAATAATGTCTTTCTTTACTGGTGAAAAGAAATGCTTACCCAAGTAAGCTAAGTGATGGCGATACCATAGGTTCCAGATTGCCAGGATCATCAAATGGATCAGATAAGCAAGAAAGAAACATCACAAAATCAGTAAACCAACTAATTAATATTGATATATCAAAAATGGAAAACATCAAGATATATCAAATCCCATTTGCTTCAATTTTTCCAAAAATAAAATGGTTGACTTTTAAAACAGAATGAGTTTAAATAATAATTAGTTTAGGAAAAGTGCGGGGTTGAATATAAATAGTAAGTGAAGTTTAGAAGGAGAGCAGCATATAATCACTTTGTTTGCCTTTCTTGCTCCGGGTGCTATTCCAAATACTCTTGTCCCATAGGTGAGCTTCATACCTGCCACTCCACCTATGCCTAAAATTTAAAAAAAAAACAGTGAATAAACAATAAATATATGATAAAAAATATTAAAAAAGCAGACTTTAATTGTCAAGTGTCATGCATGCACTGAAACACACACATTGGCTAATCATTATTTTACAAAATACCCACACAAACACACCCTAGAGTTGGTGAGTGTGCCTAGCTACCTTGTGACTCCCCTGAAAAGAGAGCTCTTCCTGGGTGGCCCACATGTCGGAGAATCAGAACTGAGGGCTGAGTTTTTCTTTCTCCGGGAGCGTTTAGGAATGGGTTTGGCCGGATTTACAATGGGAGTGGCGGATTCCGGCTGAAACTCAATATCATTGCCGGAAGCAATGTATGAGGAAGATGAAGAGGATGAAGAAGGAAGAGGAGAAGTCATCTTTTTCTTCGTCTCAAACTATGAAGAAAAAAAACCCAGGCTTTATCCAACTCAAGATTCTACCTTTCTGCCCTTTTCACCGGATTATGAGCAACCTGACCGCTGGTGAAGATGGACAGACAACCTTAACTTGGTGAAATTTATAGGACTTGAGAAAAGGTGGTGTCTGTTGGGGAGTAGTAGAGTGGAGTGTTTAGTGAGGGAGGGGGTCAGGCCGGGTGTGTTAAGCATGTTTGTACGTGTTGCTTAATGGGGAGTTTGGACCGTAATGAAGTTTCAACTCTCGGTCAAATGTGCATGAGCATGCAGCCAACCAAATGGCATTACATTTCTCAAATGACACTTTTTATTCCCCGGCCTTGGAATCTGTGTATATAATTTATGAGAACTCAACAAACTCCGAATTCCTAAACTAACTCTTATATTTTATTGTTTACTTGAATAAAAAAGTAAAAAAAATGTTGAGTTTTTCTATTTGTGTTTCTTTTTATTTTTTTTATTTTCTTTTTGATTGGACTTTCTAGTCTTTTATAGTATTTGTTCAATGCTTCAATGTTAAATGCTTACATTCTTGACTGAGATGATTTTCGAACATGTGACCTCCTCCTTGGGAGTGTCACCGTGATGTCATCGAACCACAAGGTGCTTGGCTTCTGTTTTTGTTTCTATTCTCCAATTTTCTGTTTTCGTTTTTCAGTCTTTCTATTTCTATTTTTCGTTCTCCAATTTTATGTTTTCATTTTCAGTTTTTCTATCTCCAATTTTTTGTTTTCATTTTTTAGTTTTCCATTTTCAAATATGAAAACATGCTCATCAATTTTTTTAACTCGGTTCTGTGACCGACTAGAAGATCGAAAGTATGGTCTCATTCCGGAGCCGAACCTAGCACAACCCTAGTAGGGTACCAGGTCCCATGTATAGGAAAGCTGGGACCGAAACTGGCCAATCCCGGTCGATCTCAACGGCTAGTTTGACAAATTCTTTTCTTATTTCCCTATTGGTTGACAACTCAATGGCTCTTTTAAAACTCTTCACTTTTAAAAATTGATTTCAAAAAACCAAGACTGGACTGTCGGGTTATTCAGCGGCCCGGACAGGGACCACTGGATCGTTGGCGAAACAGGCCCAAAATCGCCCGGTTGTCGATCGTGCTGAACACAGATCATCAGGTCGTTGGCTGGACAGGATGGGGATCGCCGAGTCATTGATCGAACATGATGGGGACCGTCGAGTTGTTGACAAGGTAGAACGAGAACCGTTGGGTTGTTGTTCGGATCAGACGGGGACCACCGAGTCATTGACCAGACCGAATTGGACCGGGACTGCTTGGCCGTCAACTGGACCAAACAGTTACTGCCTGGTCGTGGATCGGACCGGATGGGGACAATCGGGTCATCGACCGAACACGACAGGGGTTGCCGAGTCGTGGACCGGATAGGGACCGTCAGGTCATGGACCGTACCGGACAGAGACCATCGAATCGTCGAATGGTCCCGACAAGGCCGTCGGGTCGTGGACCGGACCGGATAGGGACCGCTGGATCGTGGACCGGATCATACAGAGGTCGTCGAGTCATGGACCAGACCAGATAGGGACCGTCGGGTCTTAAACGGAATAGAGACCGCCAAGTCGTCGACCGGACCTACAGGGATTGCTCGGCTGTCGGCCAGACCCGACAGGGGCCACTGGGTCGATGAGCGGACCGGGCCGCCGGATCGTACATCAGACTAGATAGGGACTGCCGGATCATTGGAGAGAGCGGGACCAGATTCACCACTAGATGTAAGTATGCAAATTCATTGAAGTGGCACTGCAACATCAGCGTTTTCCAAATTTAGAAAGCTAGTAAAAGTCACTTCTCTAATTCATTAAGGAAAATGGAGACATGTCTTATTTTTTGGTTTTCGTAAACACATTTTTATGTTTTCCTTTTTTCAATTTTCCAGCAATTTTTCATGTACACACGTTTTCAGTTTTCCTTTTTCCAATTTTTCAGTTTTTTGGAAAACTGGAAAGTATCTCTGTTACTCTTTCTTGATACTTTTATACTTCATCCCTCCCATCCAATCTAGCCATATTTCTTTATATTTTGTCATCTTAAAAAAATTAAAGTAATAAAAAGTGTGATTAAACTAGTTATCTCTCGCATGTACAAGTTTCAACCAGGGGCGGAGTCAAGGGGGTTAGGGTGGTCAACCGACACATCTGGAAAATTTAGAATATAGAGCTATGAAATACCTTCGATTTGATATATTATGCCTCATGTAACCATTACAAGTAAAATTTTGTGACTTTTGAAAAATCAACACTTCAAAACTTTTTTTATCATCAAAACAAAATGCTTTAGATTAAAATCATAGGAAAGGATTCGTTACAACAAACTAAAAAAGATTAACCTTGACAACAACTATCCCTAACCAACTCGCACTATCAACCTTACGGCTAGACTTAAAGACGATCACCTTTGAAAGAGTAATAATATGAATCGCTAATTACCAAACGGGTGTGACACAACAATCATTGGCCATATATATCATTCGAGTAAAGGGTCAGTTTGGTCCTCGAAGTTGCAAAAAAGGGGTCAAATAAGTCCTTATATAGAAGATTATGTCCGGACGTGCCATTTGAGGTGCCTCCCGGTGGAATTTTGTGATAATTTTTTTGAGCATCTTATTCATTAAGTCTAGTTTACTCATACGAAATTTCAGCTAAAAATTCAATCGGGAAGACATTCAAATGAATTCTTGAAGATAACAGCGCTTTTAACGGCACAATTATCTTCAAGAATTCATTTGAATGTCTTCCCCATTGAATTTTTATCTGAAATTTGGTATGAGTAAACTAGACTTAATGAATAAGATGCTCAAAAAATTTCATCAAAAAATTCCACCGGGAGCCACCTCAAATGGCACGTCCGGACAGAATCTTCTATTTAAGGACTTATTTGACCCCTTTTTTGCAACTTCGAGAACCAAACTGACCCTTATCCCTATATCATTCCCTCGACATAATATCTAGCAGATTTGTCAATCATAATTGAAGACCTAGAACTAAAGACATCAACAAAAAACAGAGCAACATAAAAAACGTGAAAATAAAACCATAAAAAATAACTGATAAATCTTCCAAACCCTAGCATCTCGATCGCTCCAAGGCGACGGTTCAGGAGGAGGGCGGACCGTTGATTTGTCTTCTCCCTTGCTCAGCCCTTCACCATCTACCCATGTTGATTCACCAGAAATTAACCCTTTGATCTCTTCCTCAATTGCAGGAATGAGACAACGCTGCTTTAGATCTTCCATAGAAGACATGATTATCGTTTCTTGAACCTTGGATTCGTTTCCAAAACATGCAACCACACTCACGCCTCCTTTAAGATTGACAACAACCGTGAGAAAAAGAGAGTCAAGCGAAAGCTTTTTGTGCGGCCTCCTAACAACAAGAATAAACGCAAGACAAGAAAAGTCAAATCTCCGCTGGAAAAACTCAACTAGGAAAACCCTAGACTCACACTATCAAAACTTAAAATGGTAAAATTTGATTCGTAATATTGATTATAATCCTAAATTTTAAAATTAGTGTGTAGTTCACTTAGTACTTACGTGACATGACTCAAATGCAGAGCAACGACAACATATCTTACTGCTACGAGTGCCTACTCAATAGCTGATTTTTTCTGGTAAGAAATCTTGATATTAATTAAGTGAGATGACAGGGTAAATATAGAGTTCCAGAGTAAAGCAAAGGGTCTCGACAGTCGCCGATACATAAACATGCTGACTAAACTCATATAAAACATGTTTATAATATACATTACATATATATCAAATCCATAACTCTATTATTCTCATTTAAACTACTATTTATCTATGCTACAAAGGAAGGAGGCGATCATCATCTTCTTCACAACAACAACGATTTCTCAGCGGAATTTATGGAGCTAAAACGTCATGAAGTCCCAATCGAAGCAGATTATGCCTCTTCGACCGCCTTCAATCCAACAATTATAGATAAAGAGAGCTTTTTCAACTTTTGGATGGATGCGGCGGGCGAACCGTATCCGACACTTTCTGATATTCATATGGTGGAGGAAGCGGAGGAGGAGAAAGTTGAGAGAGAATCGTACTTGCTCGATTTCTATAAAGACGGAAGCAATGATAACAGCCTAGATTTCCTTATGTTCGAGGAACCGTGTCGTAATCCAGGGGAGTTCGGATTTGGTGGTGATAAGGAAGGTCATGGTGGAGATGGGCTAGAAGGCTTCACAAATGCTTTACCATCTCCGGCGAAAGCGGCGACGGCGCCTGCAGGTACGGCAGTTGGAGACGGAGACGAAACTGCATGTTTTGATGCTGCTTCGGAGTTTTTTGACGTTCCTGCAGGCTTTGATGCTCCGTCGGAGTATTTTTGAAGTTCCTGGTTCTTATTTTGATGCTGCTTCGGAGTTTTGAAGTCGTTAACCTGTGTGGTTTGACTGCGTAATTTAAACCATCATTTTATTTTATTTTATTTTATTTATTTATTTGAATTATTTATTTAGGGGTTGTATGATTGTATCAGGTGGGGAGTATGTAATATTGACATATATACATACATGTATATGGGAGCACTGAGGTAAGACATGAATGAAATATGCATTGTGGTTGTTGAGTATGTAAAAGAAGTGAAATGTTTTTTTTTTTTGCAAAAATGTGGCATGTATAATCAGATGTAATGCTAAGACATGTTTAGAGTCATACGATGGTTACAATGAAATGTAATGAATTCAAAAAAGTTGTATGATTGTGAACTTTCTTGTTATACACTACTTGAATGTATTAAATGAGTTACATGTATTAAAGTCATTGTATTGTCAAACCACGCAATTCTGAAGGTCACTTTTGTGGCTGGCAGAAAATCTGACAACATATGAGATAGGCCAAATTAACAAGTGTATGATAGTTCAAAGTAGTGTACACAACAGGAGCATGAAAGAGTTTGAAATCTATTGAAAAGGGAAAAAACAATCATATATAGCTACACTTATGATACGGTGTGTATTGATATTCATACACAATGTGAAACACCAGAAAATTAACTTTAAATAGCATTCCAAATCCATTGCTTGGAGTTAAGACATTGCATTTTAATAACTACTCTTCAATGAATGAAATCTAAGATAATCGGGAAAGCGCCTGGGGGAATAAGATCTGCAGCGCGAGGGAGATTCCGGATTTGTAATTTCCGTCACCATATCGCCGACTTCCTTTGGGATAGGCATTTGAGGTTAACTGAACGGAGATGGGACTCTAATCGTCCAATTATCAGGCACGGAGAACGAATGCGGCTGGCGTATGGCTCAGTGCGACGGCATCCTGTGCATCACAGTGGATGGAGTCGACGGCCTTTCCTTTGGGATGAAAGGCAACGATCGTTTGGAGCTCAGGCCCAGTCTTTCTGCCGGCCTGATTGGAGATTGCGGCCAGATTCTGATATGAATTGGTGTAGGGGCTATAAACCTTGGCGAACAAATTGGAGTTCGCGTGATTCCAGATCGTACATGCAACAAAGGGATTATCAAGGCAAGGGCTTTGTTGATACGTAGCATTTTGGAGGGGAATGGCAGGATGCAACGAACTCATTCAGAAGGAAGAAGATGAGTTTGATATTTTTATTGAAAGCAAAATTTTTCATTTTAAAACTATTGATTGCAATGCTATTCACATTTCTGAAACCAAACATGGAATATCATCTGTTATAGATCTTCGATATTGGTAGGATTAAATGGTTGAAAGACTTCATGCTCAAGATTTTTTCGGGTAATAAATTTTGTACTAGATTGGAATTGCATAAATCGCTTACTATTTAGTATGATGCTAATTTCTTTGGAGGATTTGTGAGAATAATCGAGAGGGGATTTGATTCTCTCTTTATTCCAGAAGGACGAAATGGACGGGGGATCAATCTTTTTCTTACTGGGATAACAAAAGCAATTACCTTGATGCACCTTGATGCACTCAATTGCTTCCAAAAAATTAGCAGTTGAACAAGACTCAATTGAGGTTGGTTCATATGAGAGGTTCTAATATGAATTTGGATTTTTTACCTTTTGATGGGGATCATGATCACTCCTGTGAAACTAAGGGCCTGTTTACTAACAGAGATATTTTCATGTTTTCTACTTCTGTTTTTCGTTCTCCAATTTTCTGTTTTTATTTTTCAGTTTTTCTATCTCCCATTTTCTCTTTCTATTTTTTAGTTTTCCATTTTCAAATCTGAAAACATGTTCATCAATTTTTTCACCCAGTTTTGTGATCATCCAGAAGACAGAGGACACGTTTACTTCACGAGTTACTAAATGGTGCTTATTAAGACCCGTGTTAATAAGCTGCGCATAAAATAAGCAATGTTGTAAGATCATGTTTACTTCAAAAGATTTAAAACACCGTTTAGTATTAAAATGTCCAAAATAACCCTATACATATATAGACACACAAACATTCATGAACACAAATATATAATATAATATGTGGGGTTGATCACCTCGTATGTGTACCCATACCCCTAACCCCTACCCTGCCACTATACCTCGTACCCCCACCCTACATCCAATTTCACACCCCTGACCCCTACCCTTACCCTTACAACGATATTACACTCTACCCATACTCCCCTACAACACTTCATACCCACCCATACCTACTCGTAGGGGTTGGGGTAGGGAAGGTATGGGTGGGGTAAGGGGTTATGGTCGGGGTGGGGTGGTAAGGTCTAGGGGTAGGGGGGTTGGGTGGGGGTAGTGGGTGGGTTAGGGTCGTGGTTAGGGGTAAGGGTGGGGGTAATGGGTATGGTAGGGAGTTGGGGTAGGATGGCGGTAGGGTGGGGCTGAGGTAGGATAAGGGTATGGTGTGGGGTAGGTAGGGTGGGGGCCGAGGTAGGGGAAAGGTGGGGTAGGATGGCGGTGGGGTGAGGGTAGGATGGCGGTAGGGTGGGGTCGAGGTAGGGGCATGTGGTAAGGGGTAAGGTAGGGGTAAGGGGTGATATACGAGGGGTGGGGGTAGGGTAGGGTGGGTCGGGGTGGGGTCGAGGTGGTAGGGGTTGGCGGTAGGGTAGGGTGGATCGGGGTGGGGCCGAGGTAGGGGCATGTGGTAGGGGGTGGGGTAGGGTCATTGAAGGGAAAAGGGGTATGCAGGGTGTGGGGGTTGGGTGGGTAGGGTAGGGGTAAGTGGTAATGTACGAGGATGGAGATACCGGAATGGAATCGACATCGGAGCAGGACCGGACCCACTACTAGGTGTAAGTATGCAAATTCATTGCAGCGACACTGTAGCATCTGTGTTTTCCAAATTTGGAAAACTAGTAAAAGTCACTTCTCCAAATAATTAAGGAAAAGAGAGACATGTCTCATTTTTTTGTTTTGGAAAACGATTTGGTAAACACGTTTTTCTGTTTTCCTTTCTCCAGTTTTCCAGCAATTTTCTTTGGTAAAAACGTTTTCTGTTTTTTGTTTTCTAGTTTTCCAGAAAACTGGAAAATATTTCTGTTAGTAAACAGACCCTAAGCTTTTCATTTCGGGTGCATTACTTCAAGCGGATATTGAGCATTTTGAAGTCATTCTTTGGATTTGGTTTCTATAGAAGATTTTTATAGCTCTGAGCAAACTTCTGATGAATTTGTTAATCTCAAGGATTTCTTCATATTACTTTGACAAATGGGGTGGACTCACTTTCCCACTATCTTCTTTCTGAATTTGAGAGACTTTTTACTTCAACTTTGGGTAATTTGACTTTGGGACCCAATAATGATGGAACATCTTCTAAAATAGAGAATGCTTCAGAGCAAAAAGGGATTTCAGGTGGTAGAAGTAGACATGCTCAACCCGGATGGATCTCTACAAGAAACCTTTCTGAAACTTTTGACTTTGAGCGAGTTTACGGCAGTCTGGGCTCCATAGTATCGGGGGATGAATTTCTTGGTCATGTCCCAGAGAACGAAAAAGAGTTCCTATTTCGACGATGGAGGATCTTTGGGACTCGGATACAAATGAGGTTATTTGTTAGAACGCTCTTTTGGTCACGCCAGAAAATTGTCTACCCACTCAGAATTTAAAAACCCAAAAAAGAATGTACAAGAAGAGGAATCAACGATCGCATCTTATGAGAACTAGATCTCAAACACGGGCGAAGCTATGAAGATTTATCTGGGGGTTAAATTTTATATTGGGAGGGCTTTTTGCTATACTTTGGGTTGGGTATTACTGTTCAGTTTATTTTTATTGCTCTTTTTTTTTCTCTTCTTTCCTGTTTTTTTCTTTCATCCTTTGTACATTTTTTCTATATTAATAACGTTCCCTTTTCTTAAAAAAAATATTATTCAATGAAGAGGATCACCACAAGCACCACAATCAACAGTAAAAAGAACTGTTCAAGACATGACCAAGAAAGGTAGTTTATTATTCATACATGTCATATATGTATGCAAAGTTTAAAAGATTTGGGTGCGTCTGAATCAGATTTTAGTAGTAATGAAAATAGATAACCCTCAAGTTATGATCTGATTAATATGAAGTTATGATCTGATTAAATAAAAGGTAAGAGTTTGAAATAAAAGGTGATTGTGTCCAAAATAAGCTTCTCATAAATACGTTAAATGCATCAGTTTGTAATACGGTTTACGAAAATAACATACATCCAAATGTTTTACTTAAAAAACATACATATTGTAAGAGATAATGTATAACATTAAGTGTTGAGGTTTATTCCTTCAACCCTTGGACCCAACACGTAAGCCCAAAGATTTCGAGTGGAGTGAGTGTATGATATCTAACCCAACAAGCAGATGATATGAACTATAGAGAACAAGAAGTAGCAAGTAAATGATTAGGTATTATTATCTCTTAATAACTCCCTAATACAATACTTCTTGCTAAGGCTCCGTCGGCCGTTCGTCTTACAAGGCAGTAGAAGTGCTGCGAGTAAGGATGCTATAGCTAGTGCTAAGAATAGAAAGTTGCCAACCCTTTACAATGAAATAAATGCTTCTATTTATACCCGCCAATGGGCAGGTGGCTATGCTGACGTGGAGGCCTGCGGACCGCTTGTGTCCCAACCACCAAATCTTCTGCATTAAATGCACTTCCCGCCAGAATCTAGACTTCCCGCCTAAATAATGGGGACGTTCGTCCGCCAGGGGGTGAGCTGGGCCACTCCAAGTGACCCTCAAGAGACATCGGCTGTTCGTCCCTTGCCCTTGGTGGATTCTCTCCATGTGGACTGGATCTCCTCCGGCGACCATGGGCCTGCCTAGGAGACGTGCATCGTTGTCCCTAATGGCCAGTGGTCCTGCCCCTTAACTCTGCACATACGTTCGTCGCGATGGGCCGTTTGAACCTGGACCCCCCCCAATTCTAGACGTTCGTCCTTTCCCAAGGGTCTTGGGCCTGCGCCCAGCCTGGTCCTAGCATGACGTGCGTTCGATAGGAAAAGAGGGGTTTAATGGGCCGGACCTCGGCCTGGGCCATTATCCCAACACAAGTCCCCCACTTCTGATGTTCTGAGCATGCGCAGGACATAAGGAAGTATAGGTGCCCCGAAATGGACGTTCGTGTCTTGATACTTGTGTCTTATTGTATCTGGCGGAAGCGTACGCTCGTGGTCATGGTGCTTAACAGCTGTCGACGGTTCAGGAAACGAGGTGACGGCTGCTGTAGCGGCGGTGCATTTTCCGAGGAAAAGCCATCATTACGCTTTCGTTCCACGCACAGCGCGTGAGACGGAGTACGCTCCCTGCCACGTGTCCGTCTCTCGTTGGTCCCCCCATTGGTGTCTCTCCTATAAATGCCGGGTTCTCCCTCTAAATTAGG